CGCGTTTAGAGATTCTTACCGAGAAAGATGGATCCCGTTTGCCTTAGACCGGGCTGGACGATGATGAGTGCTAAACACGACCTTGTGGTTTCAGACTCGAGGAAATACTCTTGCGGAGATTGGTCACTTCATCGACACTGTCGAAAGAGAGACTGATCTCCTTCCGAGACTGAGAGAGAGTTAGAACCACAGGGACAGTACCCCTGAAGGTATGAGTTTGATACGGGTGGAAAATTTGGATCTGCGAACAGTGCGGAGGAAGGCAAAGGAAAAGAACCCAGTGAGATCGAAGGTGTGGATTCTCCCTTCCCTCCCTCCCACCCATTGTCCGCGGGAGACCCGCAGTCCATTGATGATTGCTTTTGCTTGGTCTTCTGCTCGTCTTCCTTTTCCTTTTCCTTTCCTTTCCCTAGCTTAGCCTGGTAGATACCTATAATTTTTCCATATTTGCCATCCTGGACGGAGGGGGAGGGGGAACGGACTTTTTTTTTTTTTTTTTTTTTTTTTTTTCAATGAGGGGGTCTTTTATGCTATATACAGTGCATATAAAGCACGCCCGCACATACAGTGGAGAGGAAACTGCTGGATAACTTACCTGACTAAATGATGCAAGTCTCATCCTAAGTGAAAAGAAAAGTGATCAGTGGAACAACTGCTGTATATTATTGTTCTCCACCGGAGTCGTTCCATCGTTCCATCGTTCCATCATACCCTCTCTCCCTCCTTCCTATCTTAAGCATAAACATAACTTATTCCCCTCTACGTACCTTTTTTCTCAGACCATCAGTAGATTAGATTGCGTGCGCTCTGCGTCGCTCTTCTCTACTTCGCTACCTCCTTCAGATCATTTCGATACAACACATTCCCTTTCGTTTCCATTACAGGGACAGCAGGCTTGAGGCTTCTTGTTTATCTTCCCAGTTTCGGGCTTAGTACCCTTTTTATGGAGCTACAATCGTTCCTTGGGTCCCTTCTTTCTTCTACCAACTAGTTATTCGATCCTTTCCCCTTTTTCTATTTCCGTTCTCTTTTTCTTTTCCCCCTCACTTTATTGTCTAATTTCGATAGTTCTTATCCGCAAAAGAAAAAAAAAAAAGTCCACCTACGCAACTATATACAACGACTTTTCTTGACTTCTCCCTGTCGTCCCCACTGAACTGTGCTACAACGAAAGTCATTGGTTGTCTAGATCGACCTTCTAGACAATAAACATTCGGCAAGGGGGCCGCTGGGCTTGCATACCGCAAGGGCAGCGATAGGACCGCCCTGGATCCTCCACTGCCCTTCTTACTTCCCCTCCCACTCCCACTCCCACTCCCACTCCCCTCCCCGGGGCCTGCCTGCATGGTGACTGGCACATGCGTCAAGCGCCCGCGGTCTATTGATTTTTTTTTACCGTTAAGCTACCAAGCTTTGCAGACGTTATCCTGCCATCTTACTGGATCATGCAAGCGCGTACTACATTCGACCGCATATATCGTCGGTGATTGTCTTCTGTCTGTCTCTGGCTAGCTGGGGCCGAAACTTGCTGTTGGACAGGCAAGATTCCCTGTCCCTGTCGATGTCCGCCATGGATCGCACGGAACATTCTCCGACATCCCAAGTTGATGATGCCCCTTTCCTACCCTCGGCTTTGCTCGACATGCGTCGCAAGTCAATTCCTCCGCGCGCACTCGCTGCGAGTCCTCCCCCAGCTCTTGACCCTGCTTCCCCCGAAGTCATCTCTTCTCTGATCTCGTCTCTGTCGACCATCTCGATACCTCTCCAGACGCACTTTGACAACGTGCCGCGCATTGACACCAAGACCGATCCCGACTCGCCAGTCTTTTTCGCCCCCGAGAAACATCACATTCCGGACCAACGCCCGGCCAGCGCGCATGAACTCGGGTTGAGTCTCGGGGCGTTTCAGCCGCCCGTGGAGACGTCACAGGGTCCCTTTCTGCATCCAGATGATGCAGCAGCTGCTCCGATCATTCGCATGGCCCGCGCGCCGCCACCCCCCAAACACAAAGCTGCCCTCGATTCGCCCTTGTCTCCAGGGAGACCGACATCAAGGGGCTCCTTCACTTCGTCCAAGGCGGCCTATGAAGATTCCGCTTTTGGTACAATCACCGCTGAGCCAGGTCCACGGCTTTTAACTGCGAGTAGTGTCGCCTCGTCCGGATCCAAGAAAAGCCTCAAACGCCAAGTCAGCATCTTAAAGCGAGTATCGCGAGAGTTTCCCAGCGAGAAAGAGCGGCAGCTGGACCGATTGCGCAAAACGAACAGCTTCAACGACGGGCTTCGACAAACTACACCGCGCAATAGGGCCAGTGTACGCTCTCTCCATTCCATGGCCGACGTGGTTGAAGAAGGACGTGCCCCGCCACTTCAATCCCCAACTGAGACCACTACCGATTCTTCACTAAGCAGACCTCCCAGCAAGGAACGCAACTCATTGCAGGGCAACCAAGAAAGTACGCCCAATACTCCAGGTGGCATTGGGAGCGGGCGCGTTATCCCTACCCGCGAATCATCCTTGCGACATAGTTTCTCTTTAAGCCCCAAGCACCGAAGATCTTCTACTCGCCATAGCCGGTATTCATCTACCAGTAGCAGAGAGATGAAAGTGGACAGTGCCGTTTCAGGGGTGGGCAGTGATTCGGATCAGGTGACGAAGAGAATCCAAGAGTTAAAGGACCAGCAACAGAAGATCAAGACCGAGCTAGAATTAGACGACGCCTCGCTGAACTCACCTAAAGAGCTCATTTCCAGAGATGCGCAACCGTTGGCCTCTACGGGACTTGGTGGAACTACCGATCTACAACAAGCGGGGCATATATCCCGCTTCAGCTTCGACGAGAGCGCTCCAGCTCCCGCAGTCTTAACGGGCAAAAGCCGCTCTGCAACCTCCATCAGTCCCCCGTTCACCTCTAGGTCAACCACTACATCCATCCATTCGTTCGACAGATATGACCCATCTGAGAAACTGATGCACAGGCATATGGCTGACTCACCGTCTCCCTTCCGTCATACTCGATCTCTATCAAGCGCGAGTTCCCCTACTGCCTATACCGCCGTAGAAGAGCGCCCGTCCAGCGCTGACTCCATCGACCTTGCAGTTCAAGACTATGTGACGGCCGCTAAGCTGACCCAGAGGGTCATTCACCCCACGTCAGGCCGCTCTATAGCATTTTCAGAGGTTGGAGACCCTAATGGTCATGTTGTTCTTTGCTGCCTCGGCATGGGGTTGACGAGATATCTGATGGCCTTTTATGACGAGCTGGCAAGGTCTCTCAAGCTTCGCCTGGTCACCTTGGATCGTCCTGGAGTCGGTGAAAGCGCACCTTACATCAACGAACCGGCAACCCCTCTTAGTTGGCCTGGTGAGTGCTATGTACCGATCACGCCGTGAGCGTTCTCTTTACTACGAGAAGGGCCGACTGACATGGATTAGATGATGTTGCGATAGTATGTAATCATCTCAGAGTAACAAAGTTCTCGATCATGGCACACTCCGCTGGAGCTATCTATGCGCTAGCTACGGCTTTGAGAATTCCACAGCATATTCGAGGGAGAATTCATCTGCTAGCTCCGTGGATCCCTCCTTCACAATTATCCAGCTTTGGCTCATTGAAGGCTCCAGTTCCGACCAATGCCGTCCCTTACACCCAACGCATTCTCCGAGCGCTCCCGACATCGATCCTTAAGGTCGCGAACTCCAGCTTCATGAGCGCAGCAAGTGCGAGTCTCACCTCCAGTCTCCCCAGGTCTCCCCGGCGAGCCAAGCGCAAGGCGCTACAGAGAGACATCTTAAGCTCCGCTGTTATCGAGCTCAGCAAGCCCCAACAGCTTCCAGGGAAGGTTCACCAGCAAGGCGGTCTGAAAGGCCTTGAGAATAAGAAGCCTACGCCCATAGTCGTAGGAGCAGGCCATCCCATTGACAAACATCTATCGAACCAGGCCGCACTTGCTGCATCTCAAGATCGTGAGCGGCAGGTGGATTACGATAATCGGCTCACCCACAGGATCTGGGAATTAGCGACGACCAACGCAAACCCGGCGGTAGATTTACTGGTGTGCTTGGAACGTCGTCAACCTATTGGATTCCGCTATGTGGATATCACTCGGAATGTGGTGATCCACCATGGTAGCCGAGACACTCGCGTTCCCGTCGACAATGTCAGATGGCTGGGGAAGACTATGCGACGCTGCGAAGTTCGTGTGCTTGAAGGTGAAGGGCACGGATTGATGGCCTCAGCTACGGTGATGGGCAATGTGCTGATGGAAATTGCCAAGGAGTGGGAGGATTGGATGGTTGTGGTCCAAGGCAAGCGTAAAGGGACTATTGGGCCGCGCTCAGGCATCGCAGTTCAAGCATGATGATGGCTTGGGTCCTTACCAACTTCCTGGATCTTCGCTATGATCCCTATCACAAATCGCGCGACAAAGGAGAAGTCAGCGAAGATCAGTCAAACGGAAGAGAAACGTTGCGCTTTTTGGACGAGGATCATCACCACCACAATACCCGTCAATTGCTCAGTCGAACCGCTGCAGGGTCTGCGGGATGACGAAGCGGCCTTATCTTACCATGTCAGTCCAGATCTATATTTGTTCTGATCTGCACCCGTGAGTTATGTGCATCTACCTACGTGCCCTCACAAATGTTGTTGTCTCAAGAAAGACATCACGTAACGCTTGGATTGAATGTTTTCTTTTATTGTTTTCGCCATGATACCAGCTACATACCCCGGATATAGCATAGCATGAATATTTCATAATATAATTCATAATTCAGCATAATTCAGGTTAGAATTGAGGGGACTCGCCATGAAGAAACAAACCTTGCTCCGTGCTTTGCTGGAAGTAAAAGTAGGCTCGGAGGCTCCCGTCCGAGCGCCGCGCCGGCGAGGCCGGAGTTTGTCTTTGCCAGTTGCCTCGACTCTTCCCCACTCCTTATGGGACCTTTCCCCCCCCCTAACACTAGGGGAAGGAAACCTCTTGACATTTCAGGTTATTCGGTCGCGCGTATTTTTAGATCTCTCACTGATAGCATTGTCTATTAGTATTGGCTTTGCCACCTGTTTCCAATCTTGCACCATTTTCTTCGGGAATCTCTAACCTCTCGCTCTCGCCTAATGTCCAGCCATTGTTGGTCTTGGAGCTGCATCTATGACTGGTCGGCTCGACACATCGACTGTTAAACCATCCCGGCACTGATGCGCACAGTAGCTCGTTGACTCGACAGCAAGCATTCTCCCCACAGCTGAACATATCTTCCCCCCGTGATTATCAATCGCATCGCTGTCAGATTCCCCTGCCGATTTACCCTCTTAAAATCCGCCTCAAGATGTTCTCTCAACGGCGCATGAGACTTTTGGTCATTGCCGTGCTGGTGATCCTCGGCGTGACCTGGTACTACTCGGTATAATTTCCCTTCCCCTTCGTGGTCGCAATTGCCTCTTAAGATAGCGAAGTTGACTAACGCGACGCGCGCCTCTAGAGCGACGCCCGGAGTGTCCAGAATCAGCAATTCTATCGCTCCACCGTGGCGGCCATGAATGCCCAAAAGCAGGCCAAGGAAGCCCAGGCCGCAGCAGCCAACATCCCCGCCCCGAACCGCAACCCCATCAAGGAAGATTTGAAGCATCCCATGGTCGATGATAAGATCGCACCGGCGATCCCCAAGGCCAACCCGGCAGACCACCTGGAAGAGATCCCGATCGCGGGACGGACTAAGATGACCGTGTCGAAGAAACCGGAGGAGGAGGAGGAGGAGGAGGAGGAGAAGGAGGAGCTGGAGGAGAAGCAGCAGTCGCAGCAGCCGCAACAACAGCAACAGCAAGAACAACCAAAGCAGCAGGAGTCTAAGCCGCAGCAGGCCGAGGCAGAGGACGACGCCGAGGCGGAAGCGCATGCGCATGCAGTGGCCGAGTTGAATGATATCCTGAAACGGGCGCCGAGTATGTGGTTTCCCCCTTTTGCCCTCTGATATGCGCAGGAGATGGATTACTGATGTGCTATGTCTTTTGTTTTTCAACGCAGTCATAATCTTTTCTAAATCGTACTGCCCCTACAGCGCCAAAGCTAAGTCCATTCTGCTGGATCACTACTCCATCACCCCTGCGCCTTTCGTCGTGGAATTGGATCAGCATCCCCATGGTCGGATGTTGCAGGCCGTGCTGGCCGAGACTACAGGTCGTCGGACTGTCCCTAACGTGTTGGTCAATGGCAAGAGTATTGGGGGTGGTGACGACGTGACGGCCCTCGACGGGCGCGACGAATTGACATCAACCTTGAGGGACCTGGGTGGTAAGTGGGTCCAAGAAGTCCACCGTAAGGACTCAAGCGACTAGAATTTTTGGGCGGACTGAGGCATCTGGACTCGATCTATTTACGGTATGCATGCATTGGGATTGTGTGTTTCACCATTCGCATTGGTTATTGCTGCCAGGCAGGTCATGATCACAGACCGATTTGAGGATTCCCTACGGAAAAGCTTTCAGGACTTTGATGCATTTCATTCTGCGTACATAATTGGGATCATGTGATAATTAACAGGAAATGATTAATCGTAATTTGATAGCTTGGTACCAGTGTGTACGTTCAAGACCAATTCTACAGCGAGAGTTGTACTGACAGCTTCCATCCATTTGAAGGACCAAAATTCGAGTTACGAGTACAATTGCAATGCATCGAATTCAATGTTGGAGCTTGAGGAGTTACTGGAATTCGGTGAGGCGGACTACCTACTGATAAGGATAAGCACTGCAGTCACAGACCAGTTCCAATTGTTGCTGTTCTGCCGGGCGGGATCAATGGCACTAAACCCGAAGTGGGCAACCCTAGGCGGGAAGACCTAAACCAGATTGAGCCGTAAGCGACGCACAACCCGTGATTTTCGCTCCACCACTGTCGACTCTGGTCTGCCTTGAGGAATTTCGATCCTTTCGACGACCGACCGCACGACGATATCGACAATTCCCCCCTCGGACACACCACAGCCCACGCAGTCAAGATGCGGTACATTCACTCCGAGGAAACGCTGCCCGTCCCCGAGAATGGTGAGCAAATTCGATTTATTCCTGAGCATTCTCCTGAATGCTCGACTTCGCTGGTTTCGCAAAGAGCAAAGAGTCCGCTGGTTTCGCAAGAGGTGGGAAGAGGAAAGGACATCCCCGGAGGGGCAGGCATGGAGAGGATGATGCATTGAGGGATACAAGCCAGGGAAAAGAGGAACAGTGATGCGCCCACCCGACTCGACTACGAATCAGTCAATGCAGGAGAGGATGAAGAAGAATTAAGAGGAGGAACCAATGCATATATCAGAATGCCTGTCTCTCCGCGACGGAAGGGAATCAGACGACATGGACTTGCGCGACTATTTTTATGTGTTTGTGTGAGAGAACTGGGACTGATCCAATTTTCGTCGTACAGTGAAGGTTCACATTCGCTCTCGCGTTGTGACCGTCGAGGGACCCCGAGGTATGCAATTTACCACTCCACCAACAAACACGCACATTCCCAACGATGGGCTCGGACCAGACAGACCTTCTACAGTGCCGTGCTGGCTTGGATGTTTCTGAGCCCGTTCGTGTCGTGCGACTGCCAGCGGCCGCTAACATGCGTTTTTTTTCCGCTCTCCTTCAGGCAAGCTCGTTAAGGACCTTTCTCACATCGCCGTCACCTTCGGCCGCCCCGAGAAGAATGTCATCAGCATCCAGCTGCACCACGGTGCTCGCAAGGGTATTGCCACCCTCCGCACCGTCCGCACCCTCATCAACAACTTGATCATCGGTGTCACCAAGGGCTTCAAGTACAAGATGCGTTACGTCTACGCTCACTTTCCCATCAACGTCAACCTTGAGAAGAACGCCGAGACCGGCCAGGTCGAAGTTGAGATCCGGTATGGCATTATCACCTTTTTGCGAAATTGCGGCGAGTCACTGGGCTGGTTGGATTGAGATGGGAGATTGTTGTTCCAACTGGTCTTGGGGGCCAATGTTGCATCGCTTGTCGCTGTATGCGTTTTGAAGGAATCTTCCGACTGACGGATTCCTTTCTAGTAACTTCTTGGGTGAGAAGTACGTCCGCCGTGTGACTGCCCAGCCCGGTGTTGAGATCGCCGTCTCCACCAATGTCAAGGATGAGCTCGTGCTCTCCGGTAACTCCCTTGAGGGTGTCTCCCAGAGCGCTGCCGACATCCAGCAGATCTGCAGAGTCCGCAACAAGGATATCCGTAAGGTGAGTTTAGAGCAGCCGGCTTTTAGCCCTATCTCAGTCCCCCGAACACCCTTTTCTGACTCGTGGCTTTCTAGTTCCTTGACGGTCTGTACGTGTCGGAGCGGGGTAACATTGTCGAGGAGTAAGCGGTTGGAAATGTCCGCCTTGGTGGGTAGTGAAGGAATGTTCGAAGAATACATTTTCGCCTACTTGCATAGGGAAGCAACGCGAAATCTAAAACCCAAAATTATGGAATTTCAAATGCCCAGTTAACGTGTCCACGGGGTTTGTCTGGCATTTCCTTACTCCGCTGGCGAAGCGTGGCGTGTAGAGAGACTCAAAAATCTGGTTGGCCTTTTTTTCTTCTTCTGCTTTTGGTCTCGCCTTGTTTCTGTATTGCAGAGTGTATCCCCCGATAGGGTGACTCTTGCCTAGGCTCGTATGTAGTTCGGCCATAGAATGTTCTAATTCATGTACCCCAATTCTCCACGACATTTTCTCCTTGGCCAATGCAGGTTTCTTTTACCCCGTGTTTTGCAAGCATCTCCACCGTGACTGTTTCCGGGCCATTGGAGCACAACACACGTTCTACTGGAGGTATGGAGACTTCGTATATGAATCCTGAGCTCGAAAATATGTTTGATTGTAATTTCAGCCTTGTGGTATATTTCCCTGTTCGTGGTGGTGGTGGTGGTGGTGGTGGTGGTGATCAGACAGGGTGGACATATATATAGTAGCACCGTGCTGCGGGGAGTAACTTCAAGTTAACTTAAGTTATACCAAGTTGTGTCATCATCCCGCCGAAGTCAATTAATTCCTCTCGGCTTCTCCCTCCCAACATCTCCTCTCTTTTCCCTTCCTGCTGCAATTTTCGACCTCGTTATTCAAAACTAGAGGTCTTGAATGCACCGGCTCTGGCTCCGATCGAGAATCCCTGCTCCTTTTCCTTGCTGAGCTGCGAACTTGTCTATCCTCCTGACCTCGTCGGAGATCAAGCATGTGAAAGCACCAGCCAGGCGTTTGTCTCGACATGTGCCGTCATTCTTCCCCCTCTCGATTGACCTGCCAGTGATAAACCTCCCCTCCCCTCCCCCTTCATTCATCATGGCATCCTGGGCGGTGATCTACGAGTTGTTCGCTGCCATCTTCAGTATGATCCTGGACGTCGCACAGTTCTGGCAACAGGTAGGCTGTTCAATGTCTTCAGACGCATGGTCGGCATCATGGTCTCTCAAGCCAGCACAATCCCATCGGATATGCTTGATGAATTCTCCAATATTCCTATGATACTCCATTGGAATGTTATGCTGTTGATTCCAGTAGCTGACTTTCTTCGTCTAGAGGTTATTATCCTGGTGGCATACACAGTCTCCCCGAGACCGACTGCGCCATGCGCTCGCTACTGCAACAACCTACGAGGAATGGGAAGAAGCCGCCTTCGACCTAGACGAAATCCTCAGTAAGGATCTTTGGTAACTCGCTCCACTTTAGCCTGCGCACGGAGGGTAGTCACTGACAGCGTATAATAGGCGCCAGAACCCCACCAGCCGCCATTACGATTACCGCTTGATCCTGGGGAGATTAGAGGCTCTTATGAGTGCTCGCGAAGACGAGGATATCCTGACGCTGGTCAATCTACTCCGATCCGGACTGCTGCGCAATCTAGGCAACATCACGTCACCGAAGCTGTTCACACAGGCGTACGCGGGGACCAAGCTTCTGATCGATGACTATATCACCCAGGTGGCACTGTCCATTCAGCAGGTGACGGCGCTTCCCACCGCCCCGGTCCACATCAGTGGGTTCGGAGCGCAGGCGAAGCTCGAGCTGCTGCATGACACTCGACAGGCCTTTGGACGGACAACGCTTCTGCTCCAAGGCGGATCGATCTTCGGGCTCTGTCACCTCGGCGTCGTCAAGGCTCTTCATCTGCGGGGCCTTCTGCCTCGGATTATCATCGGGACCGCGACGGGCGCCCTGATCGCCGCCCTGGTTGGGGTGCATACGGAAGATGAGCTGTTGACCTTCCTCGACAGCGATGGCATCGATCTGAGCGCCTTCGATCGGCGTCGGAAGGCCAAAGACGCCTCCTCCGAAACTCAATGGCTGCCGTTCGACATCGGCGATAACTGGGCGGGGACCCTGTTCCGGCGCATCAAGCGATATGTTCAGAAGGGCTACTTCCTTGACGCCGAGGTCTTGGAGGAATGCGTGCGAGCCAACCTGGGAGACTTGACGTTCGAAGAAGCATACGCCCGATCGAAGCGCATCCTCAACATCACTGTCGCGACGTCCAACACTAACGCCACGCCGAATCTCCTCAACTATCTGACCGCACCAAACGTGGTACGTACCCGCGCATCCCATCTCATTTGATATTCTATGAGGGTGTGAAAAAGCTAACAAGAAGGTTCGCCCAGCTCATCTGGTCCGCCGCCGTCGCCTCCAACGCCTCCAACACCTCCCTCTACCGCCCCGTCACCATCTACTGCAAGGACGAGACGGGCTCGATCGTCCCCTGGCCGCACTCGCAGGACGCGACCTTCGCCTCCTGGCGCCACGTGCAGTACAGCGAGGGCGAGTCGCCGCTCTCGCGGATCGCCGAGCTGTTCAACGTCAACCACTTCATCGTCTCGCAGGCGCGGCCCTACCTCGTCCCGTTCCTCCGCTCCGACGGCGGCACCCTCCTCATCCGCCGGCCCGGCGACCACCCCAACCCCCCGATCCGCTACTTCACCCGCCTCGTCATGGGCGAGGTGCGCCACCGCCTCCGCCAGCTCGACTACATGGGCCTCCTCCCCACGCCGCTGGCCCGCCTGCTCCTCGAGGAATCCATCCCCGGCCCCAGCATCACCCTCGTCCCCGACCTGACCCTCCGCGACTTCACCAAGATCTTCGAGAACCCCAGCAAGGAGAGCCTGGCGCACTGGTCGCGCAAGGGCGAGCGCGGCGTCTGGCCCGCCGTGAGCGCCCTGAAGGTCCGTTGCGTCATCGAGATCGAGCTGGACAAAGGGTACCAGGTCGTGCGGCGGCGGAGACCGGCGGAGATGCTTGGCGGTGGTGGAAGCGGGAGTGGGAGTGGGAGCGGGAGTGCGACGACAACCATCCTGCGTAGACCTTCGGTCCCGAACGAGGGCCAGCCCCGGCGACGGCGCGGGAACAGCAACAGTATCGATTCCGGCCACGAGAACTCGGCGACGAGTTTAGGGGTCGGGGAACTGGATTACCAGGATGATTCGACTTATTAGGATGGGATCACTTGCTGGTTGGCTATGGAGTAGAGGTAGATTCGCCCTCGGGCATTGCATGTATCATGTATCATGTATCATGTACTGTACTCC